ACTCGAGTATTTATTTAAAATTTTTGTCGTAACAATTGTTTCTTTAGTTTAATTGCAATAAAATTTGAAAAAAATAAAAATATTGATGCACTATTTATATATATATATAATAATAGTTTATTGAATATTGTAATTTTTCAAAGATAATTCTTGAAATTTTGTAAAATTGAAAAAGAATGACGTATCAAATTTTGCCATCTTGAGAAGATTTTAATATTAAAAAAAATAGTGTGTAGGATAAAACTGTTTTATAGAATATCCATATCAAAAAATTCATTTCCCCTTTTTCATTTATTTAAATCTACAAATCTTATATTTTCATCTTATTTACAATCCTTACATTTATCAATCTTTATACTTTTAATCTGATTCGATAAAACGCTTCGTTTAAACGAGACAACTTCCTCCATTTTATCGCGTTTCAAAAATTTATTTAGAGTATTTGAAAACTTGTTTTTGGTCGTGCGTCTTTATATAATTCCGAATAACAATTTTTTATTTTTTTTTACAGTAAAGAATTTAAGGTTGAGTATTAAAAATCTTTTTAATTACCTCATAAATATCCAGAATGTGTTCAGGTGTAAGAAATTTTTTTTTTCGTGCGTGTCGAAGATTTATCTGCAACCAATCTTTTCCTTGCTACCGTGTTCAGTCATGCAATTTCAACTTTGGCTATCATTTAGGATATACATTTTCATCAGTGCATAAATATTTTCATTTTCAAATCAAATTCAATAAAGATTTAATTTCTTTCTATCATAAAATTTAACGTAGAATCATCATTTGTATATCTACCATATTCTTTAGTGAAATTAAAAATAATTATTGAAAAATGTATCAAAGTCCAGAATACATTAAATACGCAAATATTATATAACGCGTTTCGAATTATTATGTTGTCAACATCTTTGATCATTTGCTGATCAATTGTTGAATTAATTGTTAAACGAAGATCGTGTCGTGTGTGGCTAAATTTCGAAATTTGGAGGATACTCGCCGATCAGCAATCTTTTCCGCAAAATGGAGTCCGGTTAATGACCACGATCGCCTTTGGGCCGCTCGCTATCTCAGCTCGATTTCGCGTTTCGCCGTGCAACGCCATTATCATCGCGTATCATCTCTCTCTCCGTGTCGAGAGAGTTCGGTACACGCGAGAATTATCGACGCTCGTTGATGCACACCGCTGTAAATAACAGTTTTTATGCGATTTTTATGCCCTACCGTTTACCCTCGCGGCCGGAGATTTATTTGAAAAATTTTTATTCACAAAATAAAAGATGGACGAAAGGGAATAAAAAAGGGGAGGAGGAGCTCAACCCTCTTTCGCTCTTCCCGTTCGAGATTCTTGGAGATGGGCGAGCATCTGCGTCGAGCGATTTTATGTAAGGAATAAATTAAAATCGTCTGTTATCTTTGAATAGTGAATTTATTCGTCATTTGCGAAATTTGCGAAATGAAAGAGACGAATAAATTTGGTGATCCACATTTGTTGTTGCTTATGACTTTTTAATTAATTATAATGTGCAACGAATCTAAAGAATATTTCATTTAATATGAATTAGAAAATTTACTGCATTTTTTATCATTCTTATTCCAAAATCAAGGAATTAATATTACGTGCTCAAATAATCAATTCTTCAAGTTATCATTTTCCCGATTAATTCATCTTGCTTCAAATTCTTTTGATTCATTCGAAACGTGCGTCATCAATATTTAAAATAATTATTTTAAATAAATTATCGTTTCAAATAAGTTTCAAAGTTCAAAATTAACAAATAAAATAATAAAAATTTGAATAACAATAAATAACAGAAAAATAGAAATAGAATAAAATTTTCTTCATTCGTTTATTCGAATAACGGCGAACACAAAGCGCTTGTGCTTGTACTTTTGCCGTAGGTATACCCCTTGCAGCTGGCTACGTGGTGGAATGCGTTAGTGAACACGCTGGGTGGGTGATTTTTGCAGGGCCGTACCGGACCCTTCTCCTCTATCTTTCCGATTAAAATATTCGCGATCGATCGTTGGATCATTTATAATATATTTTCTGCACGACGAATGCGTCCACGATCGATCGATATTTATTCAACGACAAGCGCAAGAAATATAACTCAATTTCTAATTGCGAGCGTGGATCGAAACTGGGGATAGGGTTCGCTGACCGTCGCGATTAATGTATTCCATTCTTGCCCGCAAGAGGGCTTTCTTGTCGCTCCGATCACGTGATCGTTCAGAATACGAAAAGGTTTTCAGTTCGCGCACGAAAAGTTTGTTTCTTGGTGAATTAATTGATTTTAACTTGATAAAGTTTAAATTTTGCATTAAATTGAATTATCTTAGTTCGAATTCGAGATTGGAATTATATTCGAGTAAGTTGAATTGAATATATATTATGTTATTTATTAGTTAAGAGTTAATATATCGAAATTGAACAATTTAACCTATATGTTACAACAACTGGATATTTGAATATTTATTTCTATATTTTCTGTGCTAATTTTCTTTAATAATTTTTTGAATTCTTATATTTTGGATGGTTTTAGATCAATTTTTATTATAATATTAAAAGTTTATATAAAAAGTTAGTTATCGAAAATAGAAAAGTATTAGGGAAATTGAGCTATTGTAAAACACAAAAGCTGTAAACATAAAGGTTAATTTGAAGCAAAAAAGTGAGACAGCACAAAAATTATTTTTATAATTTCTATTCTATAAATATTAGAAACAATCCGGTATATTTAATATTGCAGAATCTAGATACTGATTTCCTCTTCTGATCTTCGTCATATTTACGTAGATGTAACGCTTGTGTACAAGAATTTCCACTTAACGAAGATCCATCAAAGAATGTACTTAACCAGTTTTCTCATGTAATTGATTTACTTCAGGGAGAGACGAAGAAAGTCGTTAAAATCAAATGACTTGTCTACCGTAAGTTGAAAAATCTAAGAACATTTCGAAAAGAAAAGAGTACATCATGTTTTTTTAACAGAATTTATAAATTGCTATATAATTATACAAGAGGAAGTATAAATAAAATAGTGGAATATAATAATGTTATAAAGATATTCATACATAATCTTGTCATGATTGTTTTGAGTTAATTAGTTAATACTAAAATTAATTTAATTAATAATAAAATAATAAAATAATTTCTTGTTAGATAGTTAATATATCTTGAAATAGTTTGACGATTTTTCAAATTTAGTATTTTTTCATTGAATAATATGATAGTTCATTAATTTCAGTTAATTTCTGTTATAGCATATTTATACCATACTTATTTCAAATTATTTATTTTTTTTTCTTTTCTTTATTTCAAGGACTACTTCCATTAATTACACTAAAATATTTATAGCTCACATTATAATAACTCACATTATAATAGTTCACATTATAATAGCTCACATAGTGTAAGCTATTATTTTCATTTACTTCAATAAATTTAAACACATTATTTTTCTTTTGTTGCAATACAAAACAAACTATCAATTTTATTTAAATTTTGATACTTCTATTAGTAATTCCTTACTAATTCCTTACAGTTCCTTACTAATACTCTTCCTAAGTAATTATAATTATCAACTTTATTAATTGATTATCTTAATTAATTGGTAAGTTTGATATTATAAAATAAAAAAGTATTATTTAATCTAAAATATAAACATATTATTTTTATATTCTTCTTTACTACCAAATCTTTCTTTCCTTTCTTTCTCACCTTTCTTTCTCACCTTTCTTTCCTATTAAAACTTATATTTATCACTTACCATACAACACTCCTAATAAAAATTGGTAGGATAAAATCCATCTTACGCTCCTGTTCCTCCAAAATGATCCTTCTCAAAGGCCTCTCGTTTACGTTGCGCTGTTCAACAAGAAAATTTGCCTTCGAGGTTGAACCACGCGTATCGCGCTTATACGTGTTCACATATAAAACTCGTATAGACACGGGCGTGCATAGCCAGCCACCGTTGATTTATCGGTCGACATTTTTTCGAGGGATTTTTATTACGTTTTGATCCTTTCACGCATACATTTAGCCAAGGATGGTCCATGCCAGCGCGTGGACACTCGAATCGCCCTGCAAAATCTTCCCATCCTCTTTGCTTTTCCGAGAAATCCTTCTTCGTCATTTTTCAATAATAAATTCGCGTAATATGTGCACTATGAACTTATTCGTGATAATAACTTACAATAATGGTTTAATAAGAAAAATTTAAGAATTAATCGGTACAATTTAAAGGCCATTTGACAGTCATTAATATCTAATTGGTATATTCATATCAATTATTGATTAAAGACTGTAGGAAGTCACATAAATTTTAGAATATATTTTTCATAGATTATAGAGTAGAAAAATATATTTTATATTTATAATTATAAATGAATAGTTAGTTCATATTAGTAGTGACTTATTTTAATGTTTATCTGACTTCTTAGAATTTAATTTAAATTGAATAAATTGAAAGAGAGGAAGTGATTTTGGATCAAAGAATCGATATTAAAAATTAGTAGGGATGATGGATGAATTAAAAAATAAATATTTCACATATGCATCACGTATACATTATTTTTACAAGAAACATATGTCTATCTCTATTAGTTTACTAGTTTAGTAGAAGTTTAGTAGAAGTAGAATATTCATGCACAAAAATATAATGTATACAACTGCATAATAATAATTAATAATAATAATTAATAATATGATACATATAATTGTTATATATATATACAAGTTACAACGTAATTTATAATCGTTATAAATTAATTACAAACATAATCGGAAATATGCATTGTGTAATAGAGCAGACATTACATGTTTTCCAAATTGAACAAGAAAAAAATCATTAATTTTAATTAATCTTTCGATTGTAATGAATCCTTTTTCTCGAATTTTCTTCTCGAATAATTATTTCGATTAAATTTGTCAAAATTATCGTAAGTAATCGTTATATAAATTTTTACCGAGATAAAGTTCATTGATAAACTCTTCATCGTCAATGAATTTTTCTAGCAATCGCGTCGATTATCCTTTGATATGTAGCACTGTCCAAACCGCAAAATGATTTATCTCGTGGAAAGATGGACAATGCTCTTCGTCTTCGTCGTCGACGTAAAATATCGTCGAATTCATCGTCTATTGTTGGAGGATTAACCTTGGCGTAATAAAGCGCCGCGAAACCACTGTAGATGAGGAGAGCTGCGGTGGCAAGCTGTTGGAAAGTTTAATTATCAATATTTATCGTTAATATTATCAAGAAAAATTTCTATCTCACGATCATTTCACGATCAATTCTTTTTGAGTGTCAATGATCTACCAACAAATGTTATTTTAATAATAAAATTTCTTAAGAAATTCTTCGCGTGGAAATGGAAGATCGAATGAGCATTAGATGCTTTAAAAAATGCTCAAAAAGAATTCTCAGAGAATTATTTTATATAATTTTAGAAAAGTATTTAATAAAATTTCTTAGTAAACATCTTACTTTCTTTTGAGAATACTTTTTGATCTTAATCTCGTTTAAACTCGACACGAACCATCAGAAACCACACGCAAATAGGAAGTGATAGGATAGCATATGGAGAATACACTATTCTATAAGTGTTTATTCTATAGTTGCATTTTTTATAGTTGGCACGTTTTTGCGGTTTTGCATCTAACTGTTATTAGCTATTTTCACGTTTCTCTTTATTCAACTGAAATTATATTATTAATTTACGTACTTATAGTTATTACTTTGATTTTTGTTTAGATAAAAATATTTTTTGCTAGAATTTTAAAATATTCGAACTATGTTTATATATTTTATTTTAATTCTTTTAATACCTCTCAAATGAGAGGTTGTTTTCTAATAAGTATTTAATGTTAAACATTGTTTAAAAATGTTTTAAATATATCCTGATGTTAGATATATGATATTTTATCCTTTTCCATAGAATATCATATTTGAAATTCATCGAAACTTACTTGAAATACAGCCCAAAATTTGTAACTTCCTTCGTTTATCAAAAAATCATAATAACCACTCCAATAATCGACTTTCGCTCTCATAGATTTCATATCGGATTCTTCCTCTTTCATTGCATGATGATCATCGTCATGATGGTTATCATGGTTATCCTGGTTATTCTGATACATTGATCCATGATCCTCCTGGTAACCGCGTCGATACATTCTCGGATTTCTAATAAAAAATCAAAGAGAAGAATAATTCGATTAATTTATATCATTAATTTAACGATGTCAAGTAATTTTTATTTTAAGAAACAATTCTTCAATATCACAACCTGTATGTTTGAACAGCAGTGCCAATTGCAGATGTGTCGTCATATTTATCAGATTCCGGAAGTATATCAATCTCGTCGAAAGGTTCACTTGTTTTCACATGAGAAACGAAAACAAGTAGCAGAAAATAGTGACACACTAAATTTGTTTGTACCCTATCTGAAATATAGAAGATTTTGAATCATTCAAAAATAACATTCTCCATTTCTTACTTAACTCGAGAGATAAAAATCCCCAATATCGAATCAAAATTTTCAACATTGCAAAACTTTTACAATTAATTTTTAATTTATTCCAAAAATAACGAAATCCATTTCCATTTAGGTATCTTATTTTGAACGGCTCAAAATTCGCGCACAAAAAAATAAAAATTCGAATCAAAATGGAATCACAATTCATTTGAAAAATCACAAAATCTATTTTTCTCTCAGATCTTCGAAGAATAAAATAATTCCCAATATCGAAAAATTATCTACCCATAATTTCAATTGCTCTTCACTCGTTTCCAAGGAACCTCGATCGCTCGAAAACTACCACGTCTTGTTCCTCTCATTCGTGAACACGTGTCCATACGCGCACTGGTCTTCTATTTGCTCTCACCGATTCATGGAAACGAAAACGATTCACCACCGGCCGATACGTAGATACGAACGTTCATTCCTCGATGGCCGTGGGTTCATCGATCTCGTGTCACACGAAACGCGTCTCTTTTTCGAAGCTTTTTCGTCCACGTTTTCAAAGTTGTCAACGGCGAACACCGAATATCGGTCGAGTGAACCGTCTGTGATAAAATCTAAGGAGAGACTGAAGGATTCGTGGGTCCAGTTTAAACATACTGTTACCGGTAACTGTATCACGAGAAACGTTAAGCAAATCCAACGTGCAGCGCTAAAAGCCCTAATTGTTATATACTTGCTCTTACGCGTCCTCGCGTCGTCGTCTAGAAAGATTTCAGACAAAATTCGGTTTTGAGATTAGAGATCGTGTCTTCGATCGTGTCCACCCAGACGGTTCCATTATCGCGTCGTTGAAAAGTAATTCACGTTATGTTTGGTTTTTTAATAAGATCGTTGAATCGATGAGGTGTACGGTTGAGATTTGTTGGCTGGGATGAAGGAGTTAATTTAGAGTGGGCGGATGATGTGTTTGTATAGCGTTCTTGTCGGTTTTATGGTCGATTATGGTGATTAATTAAGTTCAAAGTGATGATGAAGTTTCTGTTGTCTCGCAATAATTTTGTTAAAAATCGATGTTCATATTTGGCTGTTTTAATAGAATTTAAATTTTCGATGATTTGTTAAAAATGCTAATATATTTGGATTGTGTTTGTTTTAAAATAAAAGCAGCCAAATTTTTTAAAATAAAATAAAATCAAAAATTAAATATAAAATATTAAATAAAAAGGTGAGCTACGTAATAATTCAATCAGATATACATAGACATCTTAAGAAAACTGATTAGTGCACATACGAGAATATTAATTTAACGGATTTTTTTGATCTTGATAAATTTACGTACAGGTGTAAAATGAAGTTGAGTGTATCCAATTATAAATGTTATATTTATAAGTAAATAAAACTTAAATAAAAAACATTTATTGAAAGATCACTGTTAATAGACATTTTAGATCTGATTTTTCAAACTACACATATATCTTTTAATTTAATTTTTGAATAATTTAATCTTAATAGAATCGTAAATCTTAGAAATCTTCTAATACTCAATATATTTAAAATTAAGATTAATATTAAACAATTTTATAAATATAAAAGAAAATTCGATTGTTAATTCAAATATCGTATTATTAAAATTTACATAATCATAAATCATTCGTGAATCCATTATCAATATCGATACCAAATTCAACAATTTCCAATTTCCTATTTTCCAATTCTCACAATATCCAATTTATTTCCAACTATCGATCTAGATAAAAGTATCATAGCAATCACGGTTTGGATTGTCGTCATTTTAGCCAATTTGAGCGTTTAACCGTTTCCTGTTGCGATCACTATTTAAAACGTGGAAGGTGTATATCGAACGGAAAGTTTCTTTCAGGAAGAATGGAAATATTGATCGTTCGTAGATGATATCTAGGCAAAGAAAGCATTATGTTTGGGTCAGTTAGGCTGCGTGCATCCTCTTACGGTTATTAGGTGAGGCGATTAGCAAGTTCTTAAGCGAGTCCCGTTGAAACAATACTCTAAACCGGCGATAATTGCGACAGATGGTTTTACTTGATGCTCGACTTTTGCGTCTTATGCTCGTTTGAATTTGCTCTAACCGATTATCTTGATATTCGTAAAATTTTGTATTTAATTTTTCGAAAACTGGATTAATAAAACTGGATAAATCTCATATATTATACGTATTTACATCATTATAGTATACGTATTACGTCATTATAGTATACGTGCTCAATATTAGAATTAATCGTTAATCAAGTCAAATTGATTGGTTTGAGATATTTCGTTTTTGTAATTGTTAAAATAATTGAACAGGTGTTTTTGGTATTTTGGATTTTATTAAGATAGAATTATTATGTATTATATTTAGTTTATTTTCACAATGGTATTTTAGTTTTAGTCATCTGTGTAATGTACATACAATATTTATATATTATAGATAATAGATACAGAGAGAAATCTTCATTTGTAGTTTCTTCTAATGAATGTAGAACGTTAAATAAGATCAAGATTATCATATCGTTCGAGAAAAAAAGAAATAAATAAATCTAAAACAAGCTTAAAGCATGGATTCATTCAAGACGATCCATTTTTTTTTTACACTTCTTTCTTCTTTCTCTATTGAACGAAAATGAATATTCGCGTGTTCTCATTGTATGAAAAATACAACGTGCGTATATAAAATTCGCGAAAATGTGATATGAAAGGATGATGATTCGTATTCCATGTACGAAATCATGGAATCATACGTGGAATGAAAGCAGGGATGAATCAAAAGGGCGTAATTGGTCAATAGGAATGCGAGACTATTAGAATTCTCGTGCCGTTTCCAGTAATTCTTTCGATTTCGCCGATACTGACAAATTCCGGCTCGTTATCCCGCCAAAAACTTGTCCCACCGCTCGTCACGAGATTGTAAGAAACAGTCATAACCGAATACGCTTGTTTCTCAGGAATTTAGGAATCGATCGCGCGCCAAATGATCGCAGCTGCTATTATTATTTAAGATAAATTAAATTTTATTCATTATTCGATTGAAGATCAGGCTTGGATATATTTGATTTCTCCAAATTAGGATAAAGAATAGAGTAGAAAAGTAATTTGAATAAATTTTTATTAGAGTAGTTTCTTTTGAAATGATGGAATTATAGCAATTTCACTCTTCTGTCTAGTATGCACGTAAGGAAATATTTAAGATTATAGAGAAAAGTTATTGGTGGAAGCATAATTTGTTTCGTAAATTTTTATCGTTTAAACAAATTTTGTTTTTTGAAGCTGGAATACATAACGTAGTAAAGAATTGGCATAAATTTTCATTTTCATGTTATAATTACTATATATATGAATGGCGTAAAATTATTCTTACACTTTTATATAAATATTACATTATTTACAAAAAACTTATAATATTTACACGTACAAAATTATTGCTCGTACTGTAATACGTACGTCTTATTTATATTACTTACTAAATATATATTACAAACAAACAGTGGATTCGGTATGTTGTCAAAATTAGAATTCCACCAACTTAATTTAATAACATGCGATTTGTGTATATGTGATATTATCGAAACATTCACCGCAATATCATAACATTAGATCGTGTAATATGTTCAAACGTAATAATGATTCGTCACACGATCTAATATAACTCTAATATCGCGCGATCAAATTCTCATTTCCAAATATATGGTAAAACTGACTCATCGAAATCAATCCTCCCCGCTGCAACTCGTCCAAGTCATTCAAATGATTAGAAATCAATCTAAAAAATTTGTCCATACTTCTCGGCAAAGCTCTCGACACTCTGCAACGCTTCACCCGCGAAATCCCACCAGCTGAAATCGTTGTACGATCTGCCGTGATCGTGATTCACAGCATCGGCCAAATGCGCGGGGAACGTGATCTTGTGCCTTGCGATGCTCTTCAATACCAGGGCAGCGATGTATATGATGAAATAGATGCTGAAATACAGTGGAATGTACCAAAGCTTCTTGCCTATGTAGTAATAAGAGTATGGCCTCTTGTCGAGCCTCTGATCGTTCATTTCCGGTTGCTCGGTGTGGTATTCCGGTATGTGGTCGTAGATCACCTCGTGATGGAAGTCGTGATGATGGTGGCCGTAAGAATGGTGGTCGTCGTATGGCGGATGATCCAAATGGCCGGAATACTCGATCGGTTTCGGTGAATCATTGTTGTAAGACGTGTCCGGCTGATAATCGGAGTAGTCGGAATCGTGGGACGCCATGTAGGAATCCGGTTTGTAGGAATCTGGTGGCTGAAAACGATCATTTGCGCGAGTTTGAACTGAGATTGATTGGCTCGGAATTTTAATTACGGTATGGTGGATATTTGAAGCTTGGTAGTATGTGTGGGTATCATCTTAAAATGATGATTAAAAATCTGGTAAGGGTGAAGATTTCTTTTTAGATTATTGAAAAGAGAATTGATAATACGATGAGAATTTGATAATCTATGAATTTTTAATTCAATAATTTGTATTTGAATTATTCGAGTTATATTTTGTCGTGTGATGAGATCATATCGAAATCATATACAAACTTCAACTTGAATATCTTATCCCTCTTTACTGTCACTTCTTAGTATCATCCATCAATTTCAAGGTTTATTCAATTAATTTCCCAATAACGTATACAAAATAGTCGAAGAGATAGAGAGAGAAAAAAGGATGCATGTATTGAATTTCAAAAGCAAAGTAGAGTATTTTGGTGTTCGAAGGATGTACCTTGTCACTTATCTCAGAATCTGCGTAGTCGTCCATCGACATTGGCTTCGAGATCGGCTTGTCGCCGAGGTAATCTGGCGGTTTCGAAATCGGCTTACTGCTTAAGTAATCTGGTGGTTTATAGTCGTAGCTCTCTGAAAACGTTGGCTTAGAAAAGTCGAACATGCTCGAAGATGATGGTGGACCGCTTGGTGGACCGCTTGGTGGACCACTTGGTGGGCCACTTGGTGGGCCATTTGGTGGGCCACTTGGTGGGCTGCTTGGACGATTGGCAGGTTTCGAGTTTTCCTTCATATCGTTCGATGGTTCCTTGTTTTTGAAGCTAAGCGGTGATGGATGATATCTGTCCTGAATCTGTTTCTTTGCGTTCTTTGTGTTCAATTGTGCTAATAATTCGTGGTCCAATGTTGAGTATCTAATTATAAATTAATATTTCGTATAGAGTAAACTGTCTATGACTATTGCGAAAGTTTTTGATGAATTGTTAAAACATAAAAGAAATATTAATTCGATACTGCGTTTACATTCTTTTGATTATTTATTTTTAATTTTTTATGTCGTGATGCAGTTTTTTAATATTTGGTTGTAAATAATTAAATCTTCGATTGAAATCTTTAAATAGAATTTAAAAATTCTAACAAAATTTTAAATATAATTTGTCTCTCTCTTTCTCTTTAATTTTAAACGTAAATCTTTCTTACCTTCCAACAGAGGGATAATTAATCGCTTCGCCATTCTTTAAATTTTGAATTTTCGGTGAGATGTATACAGGCGACATAGTGATAGCTATGTTCTTGATACTCCTCGATTCGCTTTGCGTTCCATTACTTCGTTACAATAAACCGGAAGAAAAAAAATTTATCTAATTATTAATTTAATTGAAATTATTTTGCTTTTGTATTTGGAATATATCTCAAAAACTCGAATTCATTTTTTTTTCACTATATCTTTTTAAAAATTATCCAATCATATAATTGTTATCAACTTTACGAAAATACTAGAAAGGTTAAATCAAACGTTCTTCGTTGTCTTCCAAAACGATCAATGATCTAACCTGACGATCCACGGATCATCGTTCCTCGTGTCCACGTCCTCTTGACCGTTCCTCGACACTTTCGCATATGACATCACTTGAGGCAAGACCGAATGGATCGACAGACTTGCTAAAAGCACTGAAATTAATGCGCGTATCATCTTCTTCGATATCCAAAGATGAATGATCGAGGAACTTCGCCTCGTGTCTTCTATATAGACTCTGTAACTGTATCTCTCGAGCCAGTCGTTGCTAATTTATTGTCCAACTCCATTTTCACCTGTTGCCGCTATTTAATGCCATTTACAATTTTCTTCTCTTTTTAATCTGAAAAAAAATCGTGTAAATTTTGAGACAAAAATTCGAATCGATTGTCAAATATTTTATATATTTTTTTAGGAATTGTGTAGGAATTGTTTTTCGCTTTCGTTTTTGGATGTTCAATAGTTCGTTCAACGACAAAACATTGGCCGTACGGATGATGGTGCTAATGGGACGAAACAACGAGACTTGACAAAATCCTTCTAATCTGTTTGGCAAATTATAACACACCGTTACGAGATGGTCAAAGTTGGAATCGAACGATGAATGGTGACCTTGAGATCATTGCTGAAACTATCAGAAACTATCAGAATTATAAAATAATTACTAGAAAATTGAATTTTTATGAGCAAATAATATATTACGAATGCTTAAATTATCGAATAGGTATTGTTTATTATTTATATTGGGATTTGATGTATAAGTAACATGAAAAAATTTCGCTATTGGGCTGTTGAACGAAGATATTTTGCGATAGATGAAAGAGTATATGTTCATTACATTACACAAAAAAATTTAATGGGAGCAATGGAGAAGTAACTTTGATTATTTGTATTTTCATTTATTTTTGTATTCGGTTTATGGGATATTTTTGTATTTTTATCCTTCTCGTGAACGATGTAACTATAATACATTATGAAGATTCGTAATTACGCGCTATTTGCATAATTATATCACATGTTTCTTTTGAAGAATTGTCATTGTTTTCTTATTTAACATTTTTTATTATACAACGTTTTCGTCAATTCTAATGTGCTTTATGTCAATTATGTATATTAAGATTTTCTTAGTTCGTACTTCGTTTTCATTTATTATTATTGCGCAAAATTTTATACAATTTTTTTTAAAAATATTGAACGTGTTAATAAGATTATAAAAATGGTTATTTTATAATTAATATTGTTAGAGGTATTTGAATATATCTTAATATATTTTCAATTAGAAAATAATTGCAATACTTAGTTAGTTAGTTGGTATCGTAAATATATTTCTTTGTAATATTAAATATTTTTTAAATTATTAATATTAGTATTTATTTATAATATTTCTAGTACTTTTTTCATTATTTCATATTTATGAGTATTTTAGTATTATTACCTACTTTTTTTTTTAAATAATATTTATCAACTCGATTAAATATAATTTTTCTATTAATTTCATTTAAACTATTATAATTATCAATATTCTTTAAGGAAATTATTAATATCACATTTTTAGTATTAATATCTAATAATAAAAATATATTTTTTGTAAAAATAATAACATAGGTATTGCATAATACTGTGCAATCACGTTTTGTAAATTAAATATGTTTTCAATGTTCTACTTTTATATAGGATTCTTTTATAATTTTTTTTAGGTTTAATTTGCAAAATTCCAATATTATGAGTGATAAAAAATATCTACGTGAAATTATTTTTTTTAAAATAGAAGCATAGAAAACACATTTTAATCGATAATCTCTAACAATATTAATCACATGAATTTTGGAATTTTCTACGTAACGATTTAACGATTTAGATTTATATTCGTTACATCCTTAAAACTTAACTGCATCTATAAAAGTTCTAAAATACTATCTTATTTATGGATGATTTTTAAACGTAATATATTAACTTCAATGTTACTTTAAGAAAAAATAACATCCTTTACTATAAAATAGAGATTTTACATTATCCTAAGTTCAATACACATAAAATGTTACACAGTTACATATGTTTGCATGATTTCTCGAATATTTAAAAAAGTATAATAAAATTAATTCGATATTGCGTGAAGTACATGCACGATGCTATTTGTTGCGAAATAATCTCGAATAATATTCGAGCATGATCAAATTATGAATAAACAAAATTTAACATCTTCACGATCATTCCATCATCATCATACTGTAACATTATTTGTAATTATTCGAACAATAATAGAATTCGATTATAAATTCAAATATATAATTATTAATTGAAAAGTTAATTCAAATATGCTTATATTAAAACAATCCATATAAAGAAAGAATGAAAGAAAATATTAAATAAGAATACTTTTAAATAAATATTAGAAATAATATTTTCTTTCTTAAAAGATTCTTTCTTAGAATATTTTATGATAAGAAAAAAATTTACTTTTTAATAAACTCATTTCTCATCATCATCATCCCTAATAATTAAATTTTTACAATTAATATATTTTCCACATAATCGTCGTTAATTATGTTTGTATATAAACAATAATATAAAAACTTGGTACACAATATATAAACAATATAAAAACGAAATGAAAAAATTTCTTTTCAAATGACTAGGAATTCTATACATTCGAATAATCACCAACAACGCTATATCTCTTCGATTCAACAATCTCTTCTAATCACGTGTACAAACTTTACATATTGTAAAATATATACATGTACACCAAACTCCTCTATACTTCCATCCGCATTTCTTACCATCTCGTTTCGTATACCTGTATTTTATACCTTTAACGGTATAAAAATCGTTTCGTGACAAGGAACGAAGAAAAGAAAAAGAGTATCGAGATCATTTAATGGGATTTTCTTCACTTCTTGTCTTCCGGTTGTTTCTCCACGGTTACGTTACACCTAAATCGATCGCTCTCCAAGCTCGGATTCGCGCTGCCATTTTGTTTCGAGCATTCTTTCGCTCGATCGCGCTCGTCAGTTTGCATTTTCTTCAACCTTTTCGCGCCGAATTTCTTTTTACTCTCGTCAGCTGGCATTTTCTCAATTTTATCGAGATTCTTCGCGTTATTAATCGCCTCTATATTATTCGTTCGTTGGCTCTTCCTCGAACACTTGACGCCATCTTGTTCCCTGATGAACGCTTGATTGTCGATTCCGGTTAAATTGTTCGATTCGTTCTTCTCGTTCTCGTCCCTAGAACGTTTCTTCTCTTCCAAATCGATCTCTATGATTCCACTCTCGAGACCATTTTGATTCTCCACGTTCTTCGGTTTCTTTTTCACTATGTCGTTCCCCTCCACCTGCGGCCGTTTCTTCAGATAAGCCACGTTGAAGATGTAGTACATTATACCCGTGATCAGAGTAACCACTGCGAAGATTCGATACGTCGGTCGAGTGCCGAAGGCTTTCATTAGGTATCCACCGATCAAGCTTCCTGAACCCTTGCCTGCGAGTATTAAATGATGATTGTTATTAGAGGAGCGTGTAGTTCACGCGTGTAAAATGTGCAAAGTGAACATGAACGATATATAAGGTATTATGGTACTTATACTTTATTGTATAAGTTGTATATAAAGTTGAATAATAATAAAGTTGTATAATAATAAGTTTGATCGAAGATTATTTCGAAGAGGTATAAGGATGGATCTACTATTTTGTGTATTATCATTACGTGCCTCAAGAAATTTATATTTTTATATTTCTACAGGATTTTGAATATCGAACATCTTATTAATAAACATTTGTTTTTTCAGGTATTGTCATCGTAAATTAAAAACAAATTGCAATGTTTTTTCTTTTGAAAAAAAAAGAAAAAAGAAAGAGAAAATTGCTCACCAACTCCGTAATAAACACCACCTAATAATCCTTGTATCGAGCTATCGGTGGTAGTAGTGGATAATTTTGCCGCGTAAGTAACAGCAGCGGTGAAACTAAGGGATAAAGTGACGGATTCTAACGCTTCGAAGAAAAGAGTGTGCCAAGGATTGTATATCAAGGAATAACCTGTAAAATGATATAGACAAATCATTCAAAGATACAAGTTGAATGTGAATTTAGTGTTAAAAAAATTATCTTTAATAAACAAAAAAGTTACTTTTAACAAGGAAAACATTTTGCCAGAGAATAATATCTTCTTGAACCCTAAATAGGGAATGCATAATTAAACGAGCACTTCAATTAAACACACTAAAATCGAATTCCTCATCCTTTTATTCGGATACAACAAAAAGTTATCTTCACGTCGAATCTTAATTCGTTAATGTAAAATAAGTGTAAATAAAGTCGCTAATAACCAGTTATTTTTTAAATTCGTCGCAAAAGGGAGTCGTACGTTTCATCGAGGAGAACTCGTAAGAATTAAATATGATTGCTTACCGCAAAGTCTTATGGCGTAAAAAACGAAGCCTATAAAAAGTACATTGGCATGGCCGATCTTGGATATGATTGGGCCAGATAGTACCAGTAATGGTATACCGGCAATACCGCCTACGGTTATGGTGATACCCATGAGTGATCTTGATCCTCCTAAATCTTGTATCAACCAAAAGAGGAACGATTCGATGTATCCCCAAGCGGTTCCTGTGGAGGGGGAGAAAAAAAATATTTATCTCGGTGGAAATCGTCGGTTCTCACGTCAAGCTCATTGAGATTTTTTTTTTTTTTTAAATAACTTCTTAGAAAAATTTATAAATATTTATCATGGTGGAAGAAAAATTATCAAATATATCGTAATTCTTATTTCATTTTTCAATCGAGCGTGTAAGAAAAAATTTGTCTTATATTTTAACATCGTCATTAGACAAATTTCATTAGGAATTTTATGAAGCTAGAATGTTTTTAAATGTTCAATTAATATAGAGAGAATATATTGTATTATGTAAAACATATATATTAAATTAATTTGCACTTTATGTCGCAATAACAGACCATTGCATTCAGATCATGCATTCACCAAGTTTTCATATAAAAAAAAAATATGAAAGGAAAAATTTTCTCATCAAATTTTGCCTTGTTCGGAAAATAAAGAAAACCTTGGCATTGAAGCCACTTTTTATTTTATCCCGATATCTCAATCGATTACCAAGATATAAAAACTCAAAATATTTGGAATGTTTAAGGCAAATATTATGAATAAACCATTAACTATGTTTCTTCTTGGAAATGCGTGCTATGTTTTCCTAGGAATTGTTTTTATTGTCTGAACTTTGAGATAGGTCAGTGAGACAATATAAGAGACCCGAATAAGAGATAAGAATGAAGATAGTAAAAGATTAAAAATTACTTTTTCCTTTTACACGACGATATCTCGGGAATTGGAAGTCGTATCAGAATCAATAAAAATGCAATTTAAAGGAGATTCTACGCTTCTAATAATCGTAATCGATCCTTGATCGGAACTTATTACATTCGAAGTTTCAACGATTTAACTTTTTTCTAATTTTAATTGGAAAAATTTTCTCTGAATTGATTTAAAAAATTTTTTTCTTGAAATCTTAAATTTAATCTTTTCAAATTTTATAGATTCAATTTTATGGATTGTGAGAAATATCATTTTCGTGTTTGTATTCGAGTATTCGCGTACTACTACTATATAATAATTTTGTTTTATCGACGAGGAATGTCAATGTCGGTGCAATTTCGTTATTTCAGTATGTCAAAGATTGGCGGAAACGAGTAATGACAAGGATTGCGCAATTCATTCGAGCGTACACTTTTTCAAATGTTGTTACAAGGTTTCGTAGAATTCAGGAATGCAATAATATAACTCGTTTATTAACCTTAAGTGAAATTATCATAAAAAGGAAAGCAGAGATTTTTACCGAGGATGAAACAGGCGATGAAGAGCGCCGCAGCCTCTATGTTCCTTAGCACGGTGAAAACATCGCGAACGACATTTGTGGCGGGTGATTTGAATTCCAAATTAATGGCGAGCATTAGCACCCCTGAGATCAGCTTTAGAGCCGCGTATAGATAAAATGCTGGCCTGAAAAATGCGCAATAAATCGAATAAGAATTTCTCTAAATGCAAAGGAAAACAAAATTATATTTTATCTCTATTAAGTTTCTATTATAAAATATATAATTATAATTCAAGATAAAAAATTAATCTTTACCTGAAATCAGTGTAACCTTTGCCAGTGCTCGCATAATCAATAAGAAGTCCAGAGAGGGGCGATGATATCATACCACCGATGCTGCCGTAAATCCTTTGAAGCCCATAATCAGCCTTTTGCTCGCGCAATATGGCGATTACTGCACCCTCGAACATGGCGAAAGTTGTTCCACCAATAACACCTGTAAGTAAAAATCATACGTTAAGGAAAGTATAAATTCTGTTTTATTAAAATGAAGATATATAATTGTAACATTATATTAATGTTTCTGATTTATCTTGTTAATCATTTCTTATATATTTAAGCAATACTCACCGATGAACACTCTAATGGCGAAGTATAACCAGAAAGTCATCCCAACATTATACTCGATCACCATTTTTGTATTCGAGCACATATCGCTACGAGGTGCAGTAACGATGCACCTTTTACTGCAGTCTTCCGTGTTCAGAATTTTATAAGGTTCTGAGCTTAAAGAGTAATTAAAAAGTGGTAGGGTCAGAGTTATTCGGTCGGTCTCCATATCGGGATTTCCGCAAGTGATCTTCTGAAATTCTTTGTTCGTCCACGCTATTTCTTCCGATAGATATCTTTGTCGTTTCTTCTCTCGATCCTCTTCCGTGCTTTTTAAGATTTTTAATTTTGACTTGTACGAGTGATAATTTGTCGTCTGATTGGTATTGTCCTTAATATAAAAAATAATAAAATTATCGTAGAGATGAAAAGTTATACGCATAAAAAGAGTTTAAACATTTAAATTGATAATTATTCTGTAACTGTTTTGTTTCCTGTTTCAATTTCTCTTTAATTACTCCATCTTTCATTTTTCTCGATTAAATATTTATGATATTGATGTATGTTCACTTTACCTTTTGAGATATAATTGGGTTGAAAGTGCAAAGAGTACGGTTCTCATAGATCCTGTTCGACATGGCAGGATTTAGAGTTGATATCTCAAAATCTTCTATAAAACCAGACACACTGCACGAGAATTCGTACATCTGATTGGATGGAAAGAAATACTCGTTGGCAGACAATTGTCGAATCGATGTCTTGAAGTGTTCGTTGTTCCTCAACTTCCGGTGTTCTCTTAAATCTTCTTCTATTTCCTGTAAAAATTGACTAGTTTTAATTTATTCTTCTTCATCGATCAAAATTATCTTTATTAATTTAAATTGAAATTTTTCTAAGGAGAGAGTAAACTTAACTTTTGTTTTTAATTATAATTAAAATGAATTTATAATTAAAATGAAAAGTTTTAAATTCAATCATCAATCACATAGACGAAATAAATTTAGTATTTTCATAAATTCAGTATTATTTTTTATTGGAATGATACCTGTGGCATTTCGTTTTGAGCAATTGAAAATTTGAACGAGGAATTAGCTGTTTCCACGTTGTATCGTTTGATCATATATTGCTTTGATGATAAAATTGACTGCACTTCGGTGTCATTACGAACGTCTAGACGACACATGTAACTATAAAAAGATAGATTGTTTTTAATTAAGCGTCTATTTTCATTCTGTGTGCAAGGTAGTTCATAATTGAACGAAAAAATTTTACGAGAAAAAATAAGTCGAAAAAAAGAATGGAATAAAAATTTTTCATCTGATGCTTCGTTTTTGAAACAAATTTGAAAAGTAGATAAATTTAAAACCAGTTTGAAAAATGTTCAACTACAACATTAACATTAACTATTCCCGATTAGATACGAATGAATTATATAAGTTATATAAGTTATTCTATGTGTGTAAAATAAGCAAAAGAAGGTTGAACAAAGATTCTTTGGAATCCTTATTTTTGAGAAAATTGAACATATACAATATAGTTACATATTCATAAATCAAACGTGTACAAAGAAATGTATAATGGATATTTTCAAATTCAGTTTTCTTATAATTTTAAACAATGAAACAAAAATTTGTTTCTTTTTTTCTTATTTTTATATGTAGAGTACTTTTCTACTTACTTATCTAATCGTAATTAATTTAATGGAAAATAAATTAATTTTAGTTACATTTAAAATTTTTTAAACTTGTTTTATTCTAAAACAAAGCATTAGATAACAAAATTTTATTATTTTTTTTCGAGAAATCAACCTGTATCGTTAATTACGAACTATCTTGTATAAAAAAATTTTAATTATCAACAAATTTAAACTAATTGTTAAATATTATGTCAAATATTAGCTTAAATTACAACAAAGAATTATATTATAGAAAATTATATTTATTATATAGAAGAATTATATTTTCAATACTATTCATTTTTATGTTAGTTTAATATTCGACAATTACAATAATAGAGATTATAAAGCATCTCATAAAAGAAAGTAATAATTAGTTAATTCTTTAACTATTTTTTAATGCCTTTACAATAGATTTTCAACAATAATGCTAATCACTTATTATTAGTAACACTATTAATAAGTAATTGGTTATTGGTATATAAAACCAATTTTATAGCAGTTGCAAATTTTACTCGAATTTAATTTCCATTTGATTTCACTGGAAATTGATTTCACATCTTTTCTCAGTAATTAAAATAACATTTCAAATCAAATAAATGATAATGATACTTGAAAATAAATTTTTCAAGTAATATTGTTGATCTGAAGGCTTAACATCCATCAAAATAAAAATTTTTTCAAATAAAAGTGAAGAATCGTTCGATCCATTAGGATAAATAAATAAAATTCTTAATTTTAAACTTTTAATTTTAATAAAATCGTTCGAACACGCGCCCTTACCTACCCGCAACTCTCTATCGTAGTGGAGATCTTGGGTTGCAAGCTCGTCTCGCAAGGATGATTCTGGCTCATGGTGTAAAGCAACCCATTATTCCCCGTACATCCAAGATCCATAACGACCTTGTTCGGAAATTCCACGGTTATCCTGCCGATCGGTACGAGCAACAATAAAAGGGCTGCGATTCCGCCGAACGATGAGAACAGGGATAGCAAAATCTGAATGAAAACGTTTTGAACATTAGTAGATTTGTTGTTTCAGTTTGGATGAACAACAATTCATTTCAACATCATCTCATTTTCATTAGACATAGTTGATGGAAATTGATTTAATTTTAAAACAATTATGGGGATGTTTGTTTAATTGAAATTAAATTGAAAAGTTTTATAGTGGAAATTTATTATAAAATTTTACTTTGAAATTTCCAACACGATCAGCGGCCATTCCAGCCAAGGGTGGCATCACCATTGCAATCACTGGTGTTATGGCGCTCATTATGGCAGTTTCTTCCACGTTTATGCCGAGCTCCCTCATGTGTATCGTCAAGTATGGATAAAGTACATAGAGCGCTGAAAATGATGATTCAAGACTACATAATTATTATTAAAAAAAATAAAAATAAAAAAAAAGAAAAAAAGAAAAATTAAATCTTTGATGCTTGGTCAAGTAAAAAGTACACATTGAAAAGAAAATTAATACAAAGTTGAGGAAAGAATAAGAAGTATAGTGAATCTATTTCAAAAATAAGACTTATAATATCATCAATGGAATTTTGGAATTAATAATGTTTTTGTATGTGAAAAGACTATGAAATATGATTTAAATATATCGATAACAAAAAATATTATCATTAATATTATTTAGATATAAATATTAATGATAAAGAAAATAATTTAATAATTAATGGATTACGACATTTAAGAAACAATCGAACAAATTTTTAGATTCTACTTTTGATAATATATAAAAATATAATTATTATATAACGTTTAAATACATACTCGATGCTTGAACGAAGAATATCATTTTAAGAGGTAACAATTCCTTGTGCCGGAAATCTTTGATGATCCTCCGGAAAAAACTTTTTATCAACATCATCTTGTTATTTTCGAAGAATGGTCACTCGTATACAAGAATTTCGTAAGTAATAACAACGTATTCCAGTTAAATGTTAAGAATGCATCAAGCATCTGATATATTTTTAATAACACCGCGTTACCGTTGCATAGTTTTTATTTCCACTGCAAATAAGATAATTTTATATAAAATTTGACATAATCACACAAATTTTAATTTAATTAGACAATTGTTTTCTCTTAAGATAACGATTTAAGATCGATGAAATTAAATTTCCATAATGCTAACGTAGCAATTTGTTGATTTAATTGATAAAAATATTGAGAACAATCAGACAGAAAGAAAGTTCGTATCGTAATTGAGGTTCGTCATAAAAGAAGCGTCGAATTTCACTGAATCGATCAGTGACACATTTATTTCGTGGCAATACCGTTGCAGATGACCAACTTTGCTTCGTCAATACGTCAGCTGATTTTCCATATACGATCAGAGTTAATAACTCGTTATAGATGTGAATATTCGAATAAACTTGGTCAGAGGATTCATTAGCATAAGATTAACTTTTCAAGATTAACGTGTGACGATTTAAAAATGATGTTAGACAGAGTTTATCATTAGTCAATAGAATGGAAGAACATTGTCATTTCAAATCATGTAAAATCTTATGGAAATATTTGAGTAAGTACAGATTAATATTAGTTGAATTATCAAGAAAGAATGAATAGGGGTCTCAAAATTATTTTTTTTTTTTTATATATTACACTAGTACAATATTTAATAACTAAGAATAATATTTTGTAAATTTATTATTTGATAAATAACATAATTGCTTCATGAATATATATAGTATGCTATTTTAAGAATGAGGATGTTTAAGATTAAAGATTCTAAAAGCTTCGTTATTGACAGTAGACAAGAAACAGTAACCCTGGCAGTGCACGATGTATCAATACGAATGTCATGACTTTTACATAACGGTTTTACAATTCACACCATACGTCGCACGGTATGTATGTATGTTTCGTTATTGTACGTCAATTTCCGGTTTGAAGGATCAATAGGCGGCCAAAATATACATATGAAATAAAAAAAAAAAAGAAATGATATTTATGTTAAAAAAAAGATAAAATGATAATTTGAAAAATGAATAAAAAAAAAAATAAACAGAAAATTATTCGTACTAAAATAAAATTATAAATATAATTTTTAACAAGAAAATTCATTTGATTTTAAAGATTTGTTTTATTAAATTAATTATATTTTAATTTAAATTAATACTATAATATAAACAAATAATAATAATACAATAATTAAAAAAATAATAATATTTATTGGATTTAATTGGAATTTTAAAAAATTATTTTATTACATTTATAAAAATCGCATATTTAATGAAAAGAAAAAAACATTTACGAAAGAAACGGGAAAACAATTCATTCCAAGTTTTATCGTTTATTGTCTAGCCTTCGGAATCATGGTCCTCGATTCTCTGAGCAAACCTTCTCTCATGTTTAATTCATTTTTCGATTATCTTTTGATTACAATATACTTTTACAACGATCATAGGAAACGAAACATAGCGGAATCGAATAATTTCGATCGAAATAGAGTCTGTAGTATTAAGATGTCGTATGTCATGGAAAGATATCGATTGAAACGGTTGCGTGACGTACTTACATACCTTCTTATCGTGGAAAATGAATAATTCAAATCGATGCGTGAGACGGAAACCGGGATGGTAATTAAACATGACAAGATTACATAATTTTACGTTACGTATCAGATGCAATTGATTATTCAAATATCGGACATATTTTATTCAAAATTTATTCAAATTATTGTACGTTAACCTAATATTGAAGTCTGATTCTAGTAAATTTTATAATGTGTACAGTGGTATATTATTGTATTAAATTTATATTACGTCTATTCATTGTTTTCTTGTTCATCATAATATCTAAATTATGAAAACGGAATGGAAAATTTTCTCGTTTGTTTGAAAATAATTGGTGATTTGTATGCTTATAATGTATATGGAAATTATAATAGATAATAATTAATTCTATTGTGTGTAAGTTGTTTTATTTAGAATTTTAAAATGATGAGGTTATTTTGCATATAAAATACATCTTTTCTTCCTATCTATTTCTCTTCCTTTATCTCTTAAACCAGATAATCAAGGATATACGATATTAATTCAAATTGATACTTGTTATACAATAATGTAATGTAATTTATATTAACTTTATATATGTTAGAAATTCGATATAAAGTGTTAAAAATGTACAGTAAATAAAATAGACAATATTCATACTTATAATACAATATATTAATATTCATATAATTTATAACAATATGATAACAATTTATAATTTGTAATACTTTTGTATTATGTCATAATAGTTCATACAACATTTTCCAACAGAATTTTGAACGATACTTTTAAATTATGTAATTATGTTCGAATGGAATTAAATTGCGCAAAAATAAGGTAAAATATTAAAATTTTCATAGCAACGATTAAATGCCATTCCGCACCGCGTTGTTCGTTTGAATTTTGTGTTTCTTTTATGCCAATCTTTTAATGCCGAATGTTTTCAAACGCACAAACGATAACAGTGTCGCTTGTACGAAGTTCAAGAAGCAATCCATAGTGTACAGTCTCGGATAACGTGCGTTTGTTTTTAAAAACAATCTCGATAGAAATATTTTAATTTTACAACATGTATTGCCACTCGTCTAATCACCTACGAATCAAATAACGTTATCATGATCGAAAAGCATGCTTTTGAAAAATATCACAAAAAAATATGCAAAATTAATAACGTACGTGAAAAATAATGTAAACGGTAAAAAGTTAAAATAAAACTTCAATTTTTTGCTTTATGAGTTTATTTTATGATTATAAACGTGAAAAATATTTATTTATTTATTTATTTATATTTAAATATTACGTGAAAATTGCCGAGATGTGCCAATAATATACATATGCAATATGCATATGAAAACATTTTTTTTTTTTTTTACATAAATATACATCTCTTTGACACGATTAGTTTTATGTTAAAAATATCACATTTTATCAGGTGTCGTGAATAATCAGAGTATTCTTGTAATTTTTTTTTTTTTTTTTTTTTTTTTACATTATATTAATCTCGAAGAGTTGAAAATGTAAGATTTTATATATGAAACGATTTTTTCACTTATTTCTAATTCAGGATAAGTAATCAAAACAAACAATTATAAATTATGATAGGATAATCACAATATGTTTATGATATATATAATTAAAATCATTTTAATTATTGTGATTTATCGTTTCTCAAGACAATCAGACAATTATTTTCTTTGAGGGGCAATTATAAATAAACATTAAACGATAATATATAATGGTGATAAGAAATATACATAAAAAAATAAAACTATGAAATTCGTGATTTAGTAGATACATATATGTTTTTTAAAACAATATGCGAAACATACAAAACATACAAAATTATATGCATTTAAAATCATCTAAAAATAAAATTCTTTCCATTCCATTTTTATACATAAATTTCTTAATCTTCTTAAATTTTCTAATTTTCCAATTTTCAATTTAAAAAAATACATAAATATATCCCCAATTTATTCATGACATCAATCGAATATCGAACGAAGTACTATGTAAAACATTATTGAAATCGAACGAGACATCAACGAGACATAAATATTTTCTACTTGATTACGAAACAATTGTTACCACGAAGCAAAATACCATGCGTTTTCACAAGGAAACTGTCCATGACTTCTCTCCATGGGATTACAGCAATCAATAGCTCGATTACGAGACCACGAAGACAAATCCTGCAGAACTCTTTTTGAAAAATACATGAATCAAGATATGTGTCGAGATACAAAAGTTAATAAATTTCTGCATATATATCCTTCTATACCGCAAAATGGTGACATAACGAATTGAAGGTCGGGATGATATTTATGTGCAACGCGATATCTGTTTCCGGAGACTTGAAGAATGTTAATTGAACAACATTGAAAAAAATACTAGTTCGAAAGAGCATTTTTCAAATTTCTTACATCTTCTTCGGCGACAATAAACTTTCTTATATTTTATTAATTAAATATAGAAAAACTTTTGTGGTTTTAGCAATTTGCAATTTAGTAATTTTATAACAGAGTGTGATTTATGATTTTTTCATTTTTTTTTTTTTTTTATGACTAGATTGTATTAAACAGAAAGAATTATGTAGCAATTTCTCTTTTTGGTTACATTGTGATGCAAAAATTCTAAAAACTTTCTATACTTTGGAATGGAAATGTTAGCTTTCACAATGTTTATGGAGTCAATACAGCTGCAAAAAGTATTTGTACGCTCTTGTTACAGCATTTAGATATTACTTAATTAAAATTATAAATATTATATTTTATATAATTTAGAAACTCTTTTATGTAATTATAGGAATTTAATATTGTATAAATGAAATGAATTGTAAAAATGAATTTATTAATTTAAAATATCGTAACAATAATATAACAGTTTTTTAAAAAATAGAAATAAAATAATTATAATAATCTTGATTATATAATAATAATTATATAAAATAGTAATAAAAAAATTCATATCTTTGAGAATTTACTTTCAATAATGAATAATGCTCGAGGAGTTAATTTGAATATGATTATGATATTGCTATACAAATATCTTTTTTTAAACATAAAACTAAACTTTATGTTTCCTTTCTTTTTGCTCATAAATTCCATTTAACGTAACCTTTCTCTTGAGTAAATCAGGCTTGCCAACTTCACAGTTATTTAAATTTCATTAGATAAAATAACATAAAATTAGAATTATTAATACATATTTTTAACGAGTGAATATCTTTATTATATTCAATTGAAAATTAAGAAGAAAAAATTGAAAGTGGATCATAAGAGATCTTACATCTATTAAAATTAAAATTTTTAAGAAAACGATTCTTTGATTATCAAAATATTATTCATTCGTTAAAAAAACACGTCAATGATTTTTTTAAATTTGTCACATTATTCTGATATATCTTTTATTTTAATAATCTAAGATTTTATTAATTATGAAAAAAATCCTGTATTGTAAAAAAAAAATTAAAGGCAATAATTTTAATTTATTCATAGCATTTGCCATTTA